ATCACTGGAGGGTCTTGATATCATCAGATTAACTGCCCCCTTCCTGCAGCAAATGGCTTTTTCCTGGTGTTCATGCAGAGTCCAGGGTTGGTGGGTTTTCTGCCCTCCCTCAGTGGCAGATCCTTTCCATTTAGCCAGCATGCAGTCCAGAGCAAGTGAGTTTCCTGGACTTCCCCTGTGGCAACAGATCTCTAACAAGTATCAATGCAGACCCAGGAGCGAAGGGAGGTTTCTTACCCCACCTCCGGTGCCAATCAGCTATTGCCCAATACCAGAGTAGGGTCCAAGCTACAGTGGATGCCCTGCCCCTCACTCAGCAGCAGGCAGGTTTTGCTTAATAAAGATCCAGAACATGTGTAGTTTTCTTGCCTGTCCCCTAGCACTGGCCAACAACCACCTTTTACTCAGGCAGGTTCCAGTGTAAATGGGCTTCTCCAGTTTCTATTACTCCTCCTTAAAACTTAAGAAGACTTTGTTCCCATTTGTTTTAGATTTGCACTGCTGCTGAAACAAAGTATCATAAATTTAGTGGCTTAAATGCTACAAAATTATCTTAACAGTTCTGTAGATCAAAGTCTGATATATGTCTTACTAAGCTAAACTCCAGGTGTCAGCAAGGCTGCATTGCTTTCTGGAGGCTCTAGGGAGGAATCCATTTCCTTGCCATTCCCAGCTTCTGGAAATTACCTGCAGACCTTAGTTTGGGGCCTCCTTCATCTTCAAAGTCAGAAGTGTTGCATCTCTCTAACCCTAGTTAAGAAATAATCTGTTTTTAAGGACTGATATGATTAGACTGAACCCACCTAAATAATACAGGATAATCTCCCATCTCAGAGTGCATACCAATAATCACATTTGCAAAGTCCCCATGCCGTATAATGTAACATATTAACTAGTTCCAAAGATTAAGTCATAGACATCTTTGGAAAAGCCATTATTCTACCTCCTATACCATGTACCATAAAGGAGCTTTCCCAGGTTTCCTGCGCTGTCCTCAACCTTTCCAGTAAGCACTCAGTAGAAGCTCAAGAAAAAGCTGGCAATTACTGATCACTCCTGTGTCTGGGGCTCCCAGGTACTCTAAACTGTTACATTAAACTACACTCAAACTTTGTAAGAACTGGTTAAAATTTCAGCCATTTTCTTGTTACCTATCGACATGCCAGAGAACTCTTCTGGAGTTCTGCCACAGATGAAACAATTTGTGTCTCCTATTTGCAAAGGCTTTTTTTTTTTTTTTTTTGAGATGGAGTCTTGCTCTGTCGCCCAGGCTGGAATGCAGTGGTGGGATCTCGGCTCACTGCAAGCTCCACCTCCTGGGTTCACACCATTCTCCTGCCTCAGCCTCCCGAGTGGCTGGGACTACAGGTGCCCGCCACCATGCCCAGCTAATTTTTCATATTTTTAGTAGAGACAAGGTTTCACCATGTTAGCCAGGATGGTCTAGATCTCCTGACCTCGTGATTTGCCCGCCTCGGCCTCCCAAAGTGCTAAAATTCAGTTTACCTGCTCACCTTGTAACTTCAGTTCTAACAAGCTCAAAATAAATTATGACTTTGTAGCCGACCTAGTTTACTCCCCTTGTTAGAGCAGAAGCAACATTCTCTTTTGGTTTTCTACCTTCTAAAAGGAAGCAGAATTCTCAAGATGCTTTTCAAAATGCATGCATAAATGCATGCTGTATCATATTCTTCCACATGTATGGTTTACAAATGTCTCCATTAAAAAAATAGATTCACGTATAGGTGATTTTTCATGCAACCTCTCTGGCCTTGTAATGAAGAATACAATAGATCTTAATAATCTGGCAATTATTAAGTGTGTCTCATTGTTTAAAAGACAGGTGGGGGAGGAAAAAGAAAAGTCTTGCTTGAAATATGGAAATAAGAGTATATGTTTAGCTCTGAGTATGTTCTGGTGAGAATTACAATGATGCCAAACTCTATGCATATATTAAAGCCATAGCAAAAAAAAAAAAAAGAAAAAAAGAAAAGAAAAGAAAAATGAAAGAGTTTTTATGTGGGCTTCTACTTGATTTTACTTTTTCCTAATACAAAAAACAGTTTTCGTCAAGACTTTCAAGGAGCCAAGGTTTCCCATCACATCAAGAATATAATCTTTCACAGCATTATAAGAGGTCTGACTCAGCTTGTTCTTCCCAAGAATCAGAATTAGAGTGATCAGAAAGGCAGAAGGTTGCTACTATGTGCAAAAGCATCATGCCCAGCAGGCTGTTTACCATAAAGTGAATCGAATCTGATATAAAAGTTGAAAAATAGTACATGATAAAAAGAAAGTGAGAAAGACTGCAGACTCCAAAATCATTTATATCCCAATGGAATGTTAATAAACCACGGACTCCATCAGAATCATAATATTCACATAATTAATTCTACATTTTATCCAGAGGAAAAATGGCTGAGAAAAAATTAGCTATCTTGAATCGCCCCCACCTCCAAAAATTATCAGGCAGATAGCAAACCAGAGGGTTGAGTATTGATCAGTGTCCAAAAGGAAATTGTACTTTTTTTCTAGTTTGGTATTAGCACAAGTTAATGGTGTGGTGTGAACGTAAGTACAAAAATATTAAGCAGTATTAAACACAGCTGATAAATTCTGGAGATGGCTAAACTTATGAAAAGTCAGTTAAAGGAATCTTACAATGCCTAAGGCAGTCAATGCAGTTAATCTGTACAATCAAGCCATTTCCAAATATTCTAATCATGAATTCTCCTAATATCACCCTCAGCAAAATATTCTTCCTTATAACTAGAATACACAGAGAAAAATCTTAATCTCTCATGTTGTAACTGTTTGTCTGCTTCAGTATAACACATCTGATGCTTGATTATACAGTCTTGATCCAGAAATTGCCCAGTGTTGCTAGGGAACCTAATCATTGGTATCATCGATACAATTTGTTCTCCTTTCAGCGTTGTACTGAATCTGTGTAAAAGTTTCTTCTAAATCTCAGACAGTTTCTGTGTGATGATGATTGAAAGGTAACTCATTTTGTTAGCATGCAAATGTGGGACAGACTCTTTCACTGATATGCAATTTTTCTCTTGTCTTTAGGCTTGGATCCTATGACTCCCATCCTTGCATTCTGAATGCATTTCTTATATAAGAGAGAACTTACCTTGGCAAATTCTCAAAAAGGGAATTGAGAATTTGACAATATAGTACTTTGCAGACCCACTGAAGCCTACCTTAAAACTTTGCCAAAAGATCACCAAGCTAAACAAGAAATTATAAAGTATCAAAACTGGAATATAACATCAAAAATAGGGAAATGAAAAAAGATTAGGAAAGGAAGGCCAATTAAGAGTCAATGAAATACCACCCAGAGAAATGGCTTAAGATGTGTTATTGTTGACAGACTGTTCATATGTGCCTACTAGCAAGAAATGTGGATTAGGCATTCAAATCTAAAACATCATGGGGCAGATAAAAACTATGACCATCTACATTATTGGTCCTATCCCACTCTCAGGAGGAAAGAAGGAAATCTTTCTTCAGCTCTAGAGCATTAAGGAGTAGGATTTGGAGCTTTGTGACTGTTCTTTGCCTATTCCCTTCCCATTAGAATAGGACCTCAATCTGGCCATGTTATCAGTGGGTGGCTGCTATTTTCCCCACGGTCTCAGGGTGGAAGACAAAGTTTTCATGGAGTTACCTAGAGCGGAGCAAGTAGGGCATAAAGGGTGGCACAAAAGAGGAATAGAAGAGAGAATGAGTCCACATAGCTTTATATATTTGGAAATGAAAAATCCAGGAACATAACGACTCCTGTGACCCTGAATGGCTCTATGTATTAGTCTTTCAATTTTCAAAGGGAGTAAATTATATTTGTGAACTGAAATTACATAACTTCTCCCAGTTCTCGGAATGGATCATTTATTTTACATTGCTCTTCAGTCTGTATACCAGTATTTTAGAAGTTGTCATAAGTAATTCCTGTAAGTACTATCTCCAGGAAGTGGTATTGGTACAGCAAAGTAGCAAAAGAAGAAATACTGGCTGGGAAAACAAAATTAATTTTTATAAATTTCTCAATGGCATGTTATTTCTACCAGTCATATCATCAGTAGACTATATAGAAACAGAGGTACTCTAGGGTACTGAACTTGTGCTTTGAATAGCTGCTAGACATGCAGTGCATGGTGTATCTGAACAATGCTTTTCAGAACAAAACTGTAATCTTAAGGTCATGATCAGAAATCACACATTTGAATAATCCATGAATGAAGACGTGTTAAGATTAAAACATACAGGGCTGTCTAGTTAAAATGGGAGATAAGTGAAGGTAATGAAATGTGTATCATTTAAATAGCAAAAGCATTGTGGCTATTAGAGATTCACTGTGCAGTTACTCTAACGGTATTAAGAGTTTGGAAGTACAGAGTAGTATTCCAGCCCTTACAGCCTAGCCACGGGTTTCACAGATGCATCTCCATGCAGAAATGGTTGAAGCTTCCATAGCTAATCTGAACTTTTTAAGGGTTTATATAGACGGGAATATGATTTTGTATGTATGTCCTTGTGTATATACGCGTGTCTACTAGTTTTTTGCTTGAATGTTTACCATTTCTGTCACTTGCAATTTAAATATTCCTAATACATAGAAAAACCCAGACTAAGATTGTGATCCTTTATGCCTATGGTATATTATGAATACAGAGACCTTGTGCCTTTACTGGCTTAGGAATAATCTTGCCCTAATATTAATGTTATGAAATCAAAAGGGTAAGATTCCTGGCTAACATCCCACAGAACACCGCAGATAAACTAAAGTTTTAATCTAGCTTTGGACTTTACAAATTCTGTGCCCTAGAGCAAGTTACATCTCGCTTAGTTTTTTTCATTTTAAAGTGGAAATATCTGCATGGTTGTTCGTACATGCTATATAACACATCCTATTCCAGATCAACCACCAGTTGAGCTCTAAATGGTAAATGCCAAAAGTGAGAAGCAGACAGGAAGGGGCGGAGCCCCAGCGGCGCCAGGGGCGACGCGCCGCACCGGACCCAGCAGCGGCAGCGGCAAGCTTGGATGTGAGCCTGGGGGCCGCTTTGCCCACCGTCCCGCTGGTCCCAGCCGTCGCTAGGGGGTCCGCGGGCCCTGCGGCAACCCTCGGTACAGACGCTGGGCGGGCGGCGACACCTGGCCCATGGCGCCCCCGGCGGCTCAGTCTTCCTTGGCCGTCAGGGCCTCAAGCCCCGCCGCGGCCCCCACCTCGTACGGCGTCTTCTGCAAGGGGCTCTCCCGCACCCTGCTCGCCTTCTTCGAGCTGGCCTGGCAGCTGCGCATGAACTTCCCGTACTTCTACGTCGCGGGCTCGGTGATCCTCAACATCCGATTGCAGGTACACATTTAGAGTCGTGACTAAGCTAACGGCCTCAGGGGCTAGCATAATGGCCTACTCCCAGGGTCCCTTGCGGCGCGGCGGAGCAGCGAATGGCGAGCCCCACAGTCTCGCGTTAGTGCTCAGCCGCTGTTCGCGGCCTCTTTCTTCGCTACAAGCAGAGCTCCTCTGGGGGCCGCCGAGAGCCTACAGTTCCTAGAAAGAAAAGACGCGATTCCGGAAACAGAACTGCCGTTAAGACCCTCGAAAAGATCTAAGAAAGTGTGCATCCTAAAACACCTGACGAATTTCAGGACGTGACAAAGCGCAGAGGTTGCATTATTTCAAAACAAAACAGAAGGCTAAAATTTTCAGGAAAAAGCAAATCAGTAAACCGTGAGTACTGGACTGGATTGTAAGCAAGATTTGAATGAGTAAGAGCTGAAGGTATTAAGATTGTGATATAGAAGGTACATACTTCTTCATTCCACAAGAGAAAATAATAATCAGAAACTTTCAGTGAAAAAAAGCAAAACTGTACAGGAAAAGCATCCTCCAAGTACCAGACAAAATGCTGCAAGCTTTTGAACTAATGGCGAGAGTGTGAGAAAATGGGCTCTATTGCAATGCTCCTGTGGCAGGACGTCGTGGATCGAGGCTTGGAACCGCAGAAAAGGAAATCCCATAGTAGCACAAAGCTTGGCTGTTCAGTGAATAACATTTAAATAATCGTAAAATACAAATGTTGTTATGGTTTTTATTGTTTAAGTACATAATTATGGTTACGAAGTGGAATGCAAATGTTATTTACCATATTTAAAAAGAGAGCCGGAAATACAGGTGGGAATGTTGAAGGAGGGCGGCGGGAATAAATGGAATGGTGGTTCTGTCCTCATAAAGTGGGAACTTGAAAGGTACTGCCTGTTGTTGAGTGTGGAACGACTTTTATTACAGGGTAGCCATAAAGTTTCTAAAACGGTAATATATTAAAGAGGGAGAGTGGTAGGGGAGAACAGTATGAAGTCAACAGAAAATGCCTAAAGATGGAGCGCTCAGGTAGAATATTTCAAAAAATAAAAATTGATAGAGTACCTGGTGTATTTGAATACAGCCTAGAGAGCTTTCATTTTTCCTTAGAGTGGGGATAAAGTAGTGATTGCATATTTTTCAAAATTAAAATAGAACATGTAATTTTGAACCCTGAGAAAAATAAAAGTTTAAAAACTACACTGTATACCTCAACTATGAACAATACTAGTCATGTAAAGTCTGTCATAATTATGTGAATACTGAATACTGATTTTACAACAAATGATTCTACAACCGGGAGGATGGAAGAGAAGAGAGATATGTGTGTGTAATGGTGGTGAGCCAATCAAGATCTGATACAGAAAAGTGCAGGAAAAGTAGTATACACATGTTTTTTCCAGATTAAAAAAAAAAAACTATAATAATAAACCACTAAGAGTGGTAAAGTTTTAAATCAAGATCTGATATAGAGAAGTGCAGTAAAAGTAGTATACACATGTTTTTTCAGAAAAAAATAATAAACCACTAAGAAGGGTAAAGTTTTAAACTAGATGCAGTGTTCTATATTCCACTCATTGTGCCCAGCGAACAGTTAGTTGTTCTATGTCTTTAAGTAGTAAGTATCTTGCCCCCTCCAACACCAGGTCTGGCCTTGGGTAATTGTTCTTTGTAGTCTTTATTCTTTGTCTCCAGCCAAACTCCACTTGGGCATATTCTCCTTTATGCCTTTTCTACCTGAAGATACTCTGTTTTAAAGCTAAGCTTAGATGGCACTTTTTCCATTAAATTTTTCCTGGATTCCACTGACCATATAGGAGCTCACTTCTTTTAATCCATAAGGCCATTTTCATAGGTTGCCTTATTTTTCCCTAATTGTGCATCAGCTATCTGTTTTTTGTTTTTTTTTTTTTTTGAAACTGAGTCTCGCTCTGTCACCCAGGCTGGAGTGCAGTGGCCGGATCTCAGCTCTCTGCAAGCTCCGCCTCCCGGGTTTACGCCATTCTCCTGGCTCAGCCTCCTGAGTAGCTGGGACTACAGGCGCCCGCCACCTCGCCCGGCTAGTTTTTGTATTTTTTAGTAGAGACGGGGTTTCACCGTGTTAGCCAGGATGGTCTCGGTCTCCTGACCTCGTGATTCGCCCGTCTCGGCCTCCCAAAGTGCTGGGATTACAGGCTTGAGCCACTGCGCCCGGCTCAGCTATCTGTTTTATATACTCAAGACAGGTTTCCTAGACTGCGATAAGCCAAACATTTTAATCTAAAATATCAGAAGTGTAGTTTAATAAATGAAATAGTAATACCAAGGGATTTAGAATGGTGAACATCACTGTTTCCCAGAGCACTAATGTCCCAATTTGTAACACAAAAGACTGTCTAATCTTAATGCTGAAATGGTGACAGAGTAGGATGCTCCATTTGGGTGACTATGTGAACATGTTCCTACTTTTTTCCTCACATCAGTCATTTGTTAAACCGAAGAAACAGACTTTGTATTTATTATATCCTCCAACATAATTGGCAACTCTTTGAGGGAAGACACTATATCCTATTCAATTTTACACCCTGTAGTAACAGTATGTGTGTGCATTGTATGTATACATATATGAACATACACATATATAAATGTAAGTAGTAACTATATATGTACACAGTTACCACTTACATACTATATATGTATACAGTTACAGCTTACATTTACCTCCTAATATATACATATTTACATAAATGTAAATATGTAATTTTCACATTTTACATTTTAAATATGTAAAAATTACATATTTATGTAATGTAAATAAGTAATTATGTAATTTACATAAATGTAAACATGCATATATTTACATAAATATGCATATATATTAGGAGGTAAATGTAAGCTCTGTGGTTTATCATTTATTCACAATTGCTCTTAATTCTTGAGGTATACTTTGCCTCCTACATGTTGCAATTCAGTGAAATTCTCAGGAGACAAAACAAGATTTTGACCTGAATAAACCAGTTATTGTTGTAATTCACAAGTGAGTTTATTCTTCCTGGCACACTTCCAGGTAATATCCATTAGGCCAAGGATTTTGTTTGTTCACTGTTCTATCCCCAAGCCTAGAGCATTGCCCAGTGTGGAATAGCTAACAAATATTGTTGGATGGATAGATGAATGGCAATTTGGTTGGTATGCTCTACATAGTCAGTAGTCAATAAAGGAAACAGATATATTTGTCCCTGATAATAAGATGATTCACTTTATTGCCCATAAATTGGGTTTTTTTCAGACCATGATGCACGTTGATTGTTCCAGAGATCCCTCAAGCATGAAAAAGCAGAGACATAGGTGGCATAATTATTATCAGTAAATACAAAACTTAAGAAATATAGCTGACAAAAAAAAGGGAAATGATGTGTTACAGTTTATTTGAGCTATAAAAGGCAAATAGTGAACATAGCAACGTATGTAACCTAAGGGATAGAGGAAAAGATTTTTTTTTGTTTTTTTTTTTAATTCTGGGTAAAAATACATGTGGTGACAAACAGCATATCATTACCATCAGCATCATTTAAAAAATATATTGAGTTTTTAATACCAGAAACTATGAAAAAGTGTTTATATACCTGAGCTCCATAATTCTCACATATACCCTGTGAGGAAAACATTTTTATCATTTTTCAAAGAAGCAAATGGATTTAGAGAGGTTAAGTAACTTCCTAAGGTCATGGTAACCAACGAGACCTCAAATGAATCTCCAGTAATTCCTAAAGATATATTTCATAAGGAGTTCAATTTTCTTAAATGTGTAGATAATTACAGATAATCCTGTTTCTCAAATTTCTGGACAGAAATATTGCCTGGGTAATAATTACTTTTTTTAACGTAACTATTGAGGGTCTTTCATACTAAAATATAAATATTTAACATGATTTGTTATGTAAGTTCAAGTATTTTATACTCTCTGCAGCCTTAAATCTATTGGCTTATTTTATTAGATGGTGGTGAGATTGAGGGATATGGGAGCAAAGGAAGAGAGAGGAAAGGACATTGTCCTCAGAATGGAAGGAAAACACTTTTCTTTGCTACCCAGAGTAGAGATCAGACAATCTTAAATTTGAAGCCATGTCTGTTCCTGTCCTGAGAATCCCTAACTCAATTTTGTTAGAAAATCTTGCAGTTTGCTTTTAACGGGTGATCTTTCTGGCAGGACATCAATAGCTTTTGATAGAGTCAAGGAGAAAATAAAGTTACATGCAGAAGCATAAAGGGGTAGGATGAAAGTTGAAGAATACAGGGACAAAAGATGAGGGAAAGGAATATCCTAATACTTGGAAGTTTGAGCATGGAAAGTAGTCTAAAGACTAGATTTGGGAAGTTCCAAGAAAATAGGCCGAGGAAAGAACCTCTGCAAGAACTATGAGAATTCCCAATAATTGAGTTGGATTGATTCATGTTAGACTATTGCTTGGGTTACCTTGAGTGCAGGGATTCTTCGTGCAGTTTTAACACTTGTACTATGGTCTGAATGTGCCCCCAGAAAATTCACATACTGGCATTCTAACCCCCAAAGTGATGATCTTAGGAGATGGGGCCTTTGAAAGGTGATCAGATCATAAAGATGAAACCCTCATGAATGGGATTAGTGCCCTTATAAAGGAGACCGCAAAATAATTCCCTTACCCCTTTTGCCGTGTAAGATTATAGGGAAAAGTCATCTATGAACAAGGAAATGAACCCTCACCAGATATCAAATTTGTGAATGCCTGGATCTTGGACTTCCCAGCCTCTAGAACTGTAAGAAGTAAATTTCTGTTGTTTATAAGCACCCATTTTATGGTATTTTTTATAGCAGTATGAACAAACTAAATAGGATTTGCTCAGCAGGATTACCACCAGGTCAGGTCATGAATCTTTTCAAAATTTCAGTAAACCTCCCCCTACCCCTACAAATATACATTTCAGCAATGCTCTTGGCACAACTAAAAGGCCCAAGGACCTTCCCAAGAGCCTACTACAAATGAAAAGAAGAAACTATGGAAGTCTTAGTAGCTTAATTGCAGGACATCCCTGCCAGTTTCTGTCCTGATTAGGAATCTGCAATGAACATTACAAAGTCTTCACCATCTTCATGACTTTCAACACCAAGAATATGGACTTAGCCACTGTAAAATAGTGGAATGCATCAATGAATAATAAAGAGATATGGAGATCATTCATGTTATTAGTGAGGAAGTTGGGTACAACTTTTCATCAACCAAAAAGAAGGAGAAAAACAATCACACAGCCAAATAATGAAATATTGTAACTAGAACGTCTTGGCTCTAAGATCATTGGCAGAGAATTAGAGATTATGTTCAGCAGATTAAAACAAAAGCAAAACAAAAAACAGTGAGCTGTGATCATGCCACTGCACTCCAGCCAGGGCTGCAGAGCAAGACCCTGTCTCAAAAAACAAAAAGCCAAAGATACAAGATGTTTAAAGTTAAAAAAGAACTGTTGTTCAAGAGATCATTTTCACTTTTTAATTGTTTTTTGAAAACTACAAAAGTATCTCAAACTGAAGTCTAAAAGGAAAATAATTAATAGAAGCTTCGAAGTTCAGGGGCCAGGTTATATCTATATAAAAGGGAAAGTAAATTATTTCCAGAACTGATTCATTTATGAAACACGGGGCTAAGGAATAGAGGTGGCAATATACAAGTCGAGATAATGCCTTTGTCTTCTGAAGCGGCATCTACATTGGTGCCCCTCAAAATAGCTAAAATTGAAAACAGTTTATCAGTCACCCGGGATTTCTTCTACAAATAACCTTCCCAAAAAAATATGGCCTAACATTTTTCTGAATTTATCAAACCAACCATCTGATCAATTTTCTAAATGAAGATTTATTCTTGGCAATAATCTAGCTCAGGGCCTAGGTCATTGTACACAGCATTAAGCAATGTAACAGACGAGTGGACTGGAAGTATGGGTTTTGCAGATGGCCTCCTTATTTCTGTATTTTAATTAAGGAAGTTTCTAGCTCAAAGGACATGAAATTAAGGGCAGCAGCAAACCATGTGAACTATCAGAGATTCACCAGAGCCTATCACGCCCTCTGAAATATTTATTGATCCATGCATATTTTCACGAGGATGTTTTCTTTGAGTAAAGCTAAGGACAACATGGCTTGCACACCCAAAATATCTTCTCATCTTAAGTTCTGGGCCTAAGGCAGGGCCCAGGCATCAGCCG